CCCTGGTCATACCCATTTGGGTGGATACCTTTCGAACTTATTTGATAGATCGCAAAGAGAGCGAAAATAATGCCCAAGACTAACCCTTAACACATACACACGCTCTCACAATACCCACGCAGCAAAATTTACGTAAAAGTGCTGGATCACATAAAGTTCTGGGTAAACATGAGGATGTGGGAGCTGACAACAACTATTAAGAATCAATGAAGATAAGACGAACAAAATTTAGAATTCAATAACCTCAATTGGTGTCGGCAATAAGCCCAAGCTTACTCACCCATATCTTTCTGAACCTGTTCGCGATTTCCTCTATCAGCTTTCCGTGATAGCAGAGACTCCACGCTTCCCTTTGCTGCTCTAAAACATAAAATGTACAAATAATACGCGCACAAAGAAAAACAGTAAGTCGAACACCAACCACTTTCACTTCTCCCCCATTACTATCGAAAGAGAGTTAAGAAAACCGTGTGTCTCACCTGGGTATTTGATCAACATATTGCGGTTTGACAACAGCTTTGAGATTGTCTTCCAGAATTTTCGTGAAGTAATTTTGCAATTCCGATCCGCGAAAATATTGCAGAATGCTCGGCCAATCGGGAGGAGCCTAAAAACCGTGAACTGCGGCACTTGAAAGGATTCAAAGTGTCATGTAGGACAACTCACATCGTACTTCCCAAGGTTTGGTTTTAGTTTGCCAGCGAGTATTTTCAGAGCGGTTGATTTACCTATACCGTTCGTTCCGACAAGCCCCAATACCTGAAATAACATTAAATATTGTAATAATAATACAACTTTTGGTGGCAATCAACTGTATAGTAGTATACTAAGATCGGCCGTCAAAACTCCAATATCAGAGTTTCACTTTCCGCACATTCCCAGCGCTCCTCCTCCCAACTGTAAACCTACATCATTGACAAATTTATATTGATCAGATACACACAAAATCAATACTTATACCAAACTGCCAATTAGCTGGGAAATGGATGGGTATAAACGGCCCTTATAGAGATATTCACCCCTCCTTACTTTGAAGATTCTACTCGTTCATTACACAGCCGTGGAGCAGTATGACAGACTTCAGGAAAAAGATAAAATGAATTCATACCTCTCCAGTACGTGGAGTTGGCAGCCGATGCAATTTGAACGAGTTCATTGAATAACGATGTGTAGTTTCATGTGCAAGGTTAGTCGGTAGATTGATAATTGTGATGGCATTGTAGGGACATTTTTTCACGCATATACCACAACCAATGCATAGTACTTCAGAGATTTGAGAAATAGACGATGTTGCTTCGACGACAATGCACTGTTTGCCTAAAACACCGTCATAATCAATCACCACTTTGGTTTTACTATTAATATAATGTATCACAATTTTGTTTTAATGCGTACAACTAACATAACATATGGACAACAAATGCTCATAGAATTTATAGGTATCGGTAATGGATACGCATCAATTTTATAAGCTTCTCAGGGCTTCTGTTGAAAATTTCAAAAAAATACTAACAATTATCAAACACAGCAGTTTGAATTCCAACACTCCCACGAGATTGAGCTGGAGCTTCACTCAATCGACTGAAGCTCAATAACGAGCTCAGCCCAACGAAATGTTTGGAAAACTTCAAAAATGCTTCAGATTTATTTTAAAATAAGTTATTACCAGTAACTTGAAAGAATACAGTTTATGGAAAACGAAAGCTCGACTGATAGCAGTGGCCTCTGAAAAACTCACCCATTTTGTTCACAGGACAGCTCCGTTTACAAAGAAGCCCACAGTTTTTTGGTTTGCATCGATCCTTTTCCACAATGGCAATTCGTAGAGGTTTGTCGGTTTCTTCATTCTTTTGCATAGGCCCTTTCCGATTCATTTTCGCTGTTTAATACCCGTCTACTAGACAGTATGTTATATTACGAGTAAGATGGTGTTTGAGGTGACCTGAAAAAAAAGTACTACAAGAAATTTACCAAAATTCACTACGAAGAATAACGAATCAATCAGGAAGATGTTTCAGGAGAAGCAAACAAAGAACAATCAAGACTTAGAATACCAATAAAGGATGAGAGCAAGAGAAGCGTTTCCATCTCAAACAATTTCACGAAAATCAATGATGGACTCCTGAATAGCGTAACAGTTATTTTAAACTGCATGAATTGGTTACCACGAAAAAACAGCTAGATATTCAAATGTGATTGAAAAGAAGCCTGATTTTAAGATTTATAAAAATCAAAAACTTATAAAAATCAGATTCAAAACCGCCAAAATGGCAGTTTTATCGTACAGGAGCTCCAACGAAAAATGCATTAGGAATGCTTTTTTTACATACGGTAGAAATGCACCGCAATCACGGACAATCAACAAACTGCCACAGAAATTTTTCGTCTGGATACTTATGAGCCTTGTTTTAATGGGTGGAGCACTTGGTAAAAGGTCCTGAAGAGAAAATTGAATGGTTAAATTAAAAACAAGCAAAAATAAGTCAGTCGATAAAGATTCGGCGGACGAAACCGCGTCCTAACTGCACTACCCGCAGGTTTGAATATCGCCCACGACATTAGGTTCCCGAACATTTAGATCGTCAATATAGTCAAAGATTCCCTTCAAGAATAAGGA